AAAGAGTTGGATCCCTGTCCCTGTGAGAGACCCAACTGAAGTTCCGGGCTCCTGGCATCAGCGTAGCCCAGCCCTAATTATTTTGCCTGTGAAAGATCTCTCTTTCTGATTCTCCCTCCTCTTGATCACCCTGCATTTCAAAATAAATAAACCTGTAGAACAATTTAGCGAACATATTGAAAATCACCACAGCTCATTTTCTGGCTTAAAAATGGCTTCCATTCTCCTACATTGCAGAACATGCTGTGCCTTCCTAAGACAGCCCCTGGGTTACATCCTATTAGGGCTTAGGTATCTGGCTCTGGGTTCAAAGCTCAGAAACCAGTGGTTCAAGCCAGTGTGGCGTGGAGGAGGCTGCTCATGGTCACTTGTTCTCCATGTGAACATCTGTGGTGAGTCATCTACTCCGTGCTATCATACAGATAGGCCTAAGGTGGCCCCTGCAAGCACTGCCCTGACAGAGGGACAGAAGAGCACACAGCAGCCAGTGTCCATGGCGGCTCTGAATCCTGCTGCTCAATCCGCTCTTGCAAAGTTGTCCTTCTGATTCTTGCTTCTGTGTTGTGATCAATCAGTGCTGCCCTCGGGGTGATCCTGCTTGAAGAAAACCAGCTCTGTGTCTGAAGGACTTTCTTTCTGCCTGATTCCTACCTGTTCACAGCAGGAGGGGGACCTGGACTCTTCTTGTTTTGTTCTACTCCATCATGTTCAAGCCATTGCAATGCATTGAAACATGTCATTGCCCGTGGGACCTAACTTAGGGACGGCATTTCGCTAGCATCCTGTGTTGGAGTTCCTGGGTTTGACTCTCAGCACCTGCTTCCAGTCCCAGCTTTCCGATGATGTACATCCTAGAAACAGCAGGTGATGCTCAAGAAGATGGGGCTCCTGGTTCCAGCCTGGCTTCACCCTGGCTGCTGCAGGCCTGCAGAGAGCAAATCAGCAGGTAGAAAATCCTGTGTGTCTCTGTCTTTCCAAGATGGATGAATGAATGAATGCCATGGGCTTCCTGGCTTTTACTTCATAATCACTCACTAGACAAAAGTCATACCTGGGAGTCTTTAGCGGAAACTTTCTCCTCTTGGCTGGGCTTTCTTTAGGCAGTTGTGTAATCGACATAATTAAGATTCTTAGGAGCCCTGTTGATAAAGGGAAGACCCTCGAGGCACATCTTTTGGGAACTCAGGCCTTTGTTAAAGGGGCCCTAAGATCTTCTTGAAGGCTTAACAGAAGGTCTGACAGCCACACCTGGATTTGACTGTTGCTTCTTTTTGTGTCCTGAGGCCATTTCTTAATATGCTAATCCTCTGTTCTCTGGAGAAGCTCAAAACCAGAAGCAGTTTTGGTTTTGAATCTGACAACTCTGGGCCAGGTTTGTAGGTTGTGTAAATTCTGCTCAGAACCTAAAATCCTTGTTGTCTAATCAATCTGTTTCTCACTCTGTTGTGGGCAGCTAGGAGTGGCCAACGTTTTCAACACTTTTTCCAGAAACCTTTTGAGTTAATCATCAAATTCATTTAGGCTTACTGTCTTTTTTTTCCTTCTTCTTCTTTTTAAGGTTACTTTATTGTTTAAAAGGCAGAGTTACAGAGAGAGGCAGAGAGATCTTCTGTCTGCTGGTTTACTTAACCAGATAGCTGCAATAATGGAGCTGGGTCAGCCCCAAGCCAGGAGCTTCTTTGGTGTCTCCCATGTGCAAGGGCCTAATGACCTGAGTTGTATTCTGCTGCTTTCCCAGGGAATCTAACAGGAAGCAATGGAAACTTGAACCAGAATTCTGCTAGGGCATGCTGGACCCATGTCACGTGGCAGTTTAGCTCCCCCTGCACCACAACGCCAGGTGCATCTTGGTGTTAATTTTATAACTATTCCTCTCCTGCGTCAGAGGCATCTTTTTCTGTCTTCTATGCACCTGTTTTGTTTTTCTTTATGTCAGTCGTCTGCAAAGGTCTTGTTCCCTGTCTGAGCCCTGTCTGAGCCATCATACAACCAGGGCCTTCTACTTGGGTTGTTATTCACTTTCAGATACCATATTTCTGTCTCAGCACTCATTACTATAGTGAAATTAAAACAAGGATCACTTACTGTGCTTCCAGCTTTGGTGGGACAGGAAGTTGGCGAAAGTAGATAGACACTTGGGGAATCTCCTAGACTGTTGCAGTCACACCAGGGGCTGCTGTCCTGTCACTTGCAGATTTGCCTCTTCTGTCTCAGTGGCAGTTCGCTCTGCAGCTGTCAAATTCAGTTGCACCCCTCTGGGGGCCTGCCCATGGGGCTGGAGGCCTCAGGGCGGCCAGACCTCATTGGGGACTCCTGACTGGGAAGTCACTTCTGCTGTGCACAGGGGAAGGCCAGTCACTGCCCTCCCACTCCCTGATCAAAAGAGAAGGGAGCAGACCCTAACGCAAGAAGAACTCATGCACAGGTTTGAAAACTGATTTCCAATATATTTTCATCGTTTTTTTCCCCTGTATCTGGGTTCAGGGGAGAAACAAAGGGAGATGCCCCACCCAGCTTCCCACCCATCCCAGTCCCCTATGTGAGGCATGCTCCAAGGGTCAAAATGATGATATTAGTGTGGAAACAATGGTTTTAAACCACACCTCCCCCCTCAAAAAAGAAAACTGATTGTCCAGTGGGTATATGCGTAGCCAGTAAGTAGGGATGTGTCCTTTCTCACTCCATCTGCTTGTCAGTCTTTGGGCAATACAGTCTGGCACTGAATTAATTACAGTAAAACTTCCCTGTGTTTATTATGTATTTTTGAAAAGAGGAGGCATGGTACATTACATTGTACTTATCTACTACCAATTGAGTTAGAAAACTAATTTAACTTTTATTTCCCAAAAGCCATTAAAATTCTGGGGGAGGGGCGATGGGGGGAAGCAGAGAAGGACAGAAGTGTACTTTTGGAATTGGAGTGACCTTTGTAAGCAAGATTTAAAAGCCAAGAAACCACAGGGGAACTTTTTAAGATGTTGGACTACAGGAAGTAAAACTGAAGGATAAAAAATAAACTGGATGAACAATTTACAGCCTAAATAAAAGATAACCAGCTAGGCGATGAATCATAAGCCATAAAGGAGCCTCTGCCCCTTCAGGCTGTTGTGAGGATTCAATGAGGTTAAATGCCGGAAGGAAATATTTAATAAATGGCATACCCTGGGAGTCATTGGGTGATAGCCTGACTGAGCCCCAGGCTGCTGCTGGCTTCAGCGTGGTCCAGATCTGGCTGTCGGCAGGCACTGGGGAAGTGAAACAGTAAATGGGAGATATGTCTGCCTGTCTCTGTCGCTGTCTCTCTGCGTTTCAAATACATAAACATTTTAAAAGATCTATAACCTCACTCCTGATTAATTAAGTGAAAATCTGGTCTGCCGTGAGCTTGTTTCCACCCAGGAGGAGATCGTGGCTGAGGAAGAAGCTAATTGCGGCTCTGGCAAGGATGTGGACAGCAAGGTGCTCTGATCTTCCGTCGGTGGTGGAGTGGCAATGGGTACAATATTTGGGAAAGCAGCCTTTATCGCTTAATAAAACTGAGCACCTGCAGGCCTTCTGACCTAGTGTTTCCGCCTATAGTTGTACACAGAGATGCAAGCACCAGAACGGTTTTTGATGCAGGAGTAGTTAGGTAGGAGCTTATCCAGCTGCACAGTCGCAGGCCAGCCAGGTGCTAAGGGAAATGCAGTAGCTCAGTATATCCCAACACAGAGAAAACTCCATGGTCTACAGTTAAGTAGAAGAGAGAAATTAAGTTTCGAAATGGTAGGTTTAAGGTGCAGTTTTGTATGTAAAAAATTGTTTGTAATCAAAATGAGGACTTACTTTGAGAAGAAAGACAAGTTAAGAAGCATATATGCAAGAAAAACTATGGGTTGCATTCGAGGGACAGTATTATAAGGCTGTTAATTAATACGGAAATCTTGTGCATATTAGGAAGTTAATAATTAAGAAGAAAATCGGAGAGGTAAATATGATTGACTTAGAACATAACGATAGGCCAAATTTTCCCTGTTACTTTTATTTTTTAAGATTAATTTATTTCTGTTGGAAAGTCAGAGAGAATAGAGACAGAGAGAAAGATCTTTCATCTGCTAGTTCATTCCTTAAATGGCTGCAGTGGCAGAGTTAATCTGAGCCAAAGCCAGGAGCCAGTTGCTTCTTCCAGGTCTCCCACACAGATACAGGGTCCCAAGGCTTTGGGCCATCCTTGACTGCTTTCCCAGGCCACGAGCAAGGAGCTGGAAGGGAAGTAAAACAGCTGGGACATGAATCAGTGCCCTGACTTTAACTACTAAACTACCGTGCTGGGCCCTCCCCATCACTTTCTTCTGTATTGGACAGTAATACAAGAGTAACTCAACATTCAGGTTTTAGCTCACCAGCTGGGAGTTTTGTGGTAGAGCAGGTCCAGCCCGATAGATGGAAAGTGTACATTCCTTTTGTCTGTTTTTCCCCAGGTTTCCTGCATGAGAAGGTAACAGCTGGAGATGATGAGGGTTCCAAATGGACATGAGTTACCTGTTGCTTATCACTCGGCAGGCCTGCCTTAGGAGAGACTTCCTCCTCTGCATTTTTGAGAATGCACATTGCATATTGCAGACAAGATTGTGTCAGTTCTTTTGCTTCTGTCTTAGTGATTTGGCATATCATGAGATGTCTGCGATGGGGTTTCTTTTTTCTTTTTGGAATGTATTTCTCCCTTAAAGTGCTAAGGAAGTAGAGTAGTGGAACAGGGGTAAGGAGCGTGCCAACTGTGTGACTGCAGATCCGCAATGCCGTTACATGATATCTGCGTGCCTGAGTGTGCCCTGACATTTTCCCACCCTGTCGGTAGCCCTCGTAAGCCAGCTGTGTTTTATGTCCCCCCTGTAGCCTGCAGTCCCACTGTGTCTAGCGCTGGATTTTCGAATGATGAACGTTGTATGGTTTGGTTTGGTTTGAATTGTGCCTTTTTTTTTTTTTTTGAGCTTGTTTGACCCTGTCTGTGTTTCCTGCAGGAGTCCCGGAGGGGATTTGGGAGCCAAAAAGAAGAAGAAAAAACAGAAGAGGAAAAAAGAGAAACCCAACTCTGGAGGCACCAAGTCCGACTCGGCGTCTGACTCCCAGGAGATTAAAATTCAGCCACCGTCAAAAGTGAGCACCCTGTCTCATTCTCTGCTTGTGGTTTCCCAGGCCTGTGAGCTGAGACTGTGTGTTCTGTGGCACCAGTAACTGCAGGCTGTTCACAGCCTCCTGAACACTGACTTTGGCACCCAAATAATTCAAGAGGTACAAGGTGTGGTGTGGTGTGGTCTGGTGTGATGGTGTGATGGTGATGTGTGTGTGTGTGTACCTGCTATATTCTTCCTGTTTTTCAGTAAATGCATTCTGCAAGAAAGCATGAGCTTCTTAGTGGATTTTTTTAAAGTTACACTTGGTGTTTGACGACCTTTAGTTCAGAAGATATTCACGTTGTAGTTTCCCCGGGTGTCTTGCTAATTGCCGGAATAGCACAAGGCCATCTGGCAGCAGATGTCAGCCAGAGCCGCATGGTAAGTCTTCTGTTGACTTTGGATCAGATCAGTTGTCAGCGGTCATTCTTCATTCAGTTGCCAGGGGTGAAGAGCAGCTCCCGGTGAAGAAACAGCCCATTTAGACCAAGCCACAAGTTCTCCTGCTGGGCCCCATCTGGGCACGTTGTGTGCTGTGTGTGTCTGGTGGTGCAGATGGCAGGCACCTCTGTCCATGGAGCCCACCCCCTGTCACCTTGGCTGAGAACCCAGCCCATGTGTGCTAGGTCCTGGGAAACACCAAAGCCTCTGTGCAAGGTGTTTGTGCAGAGGGAATTAGAATTTGAAATGTTCACAAAATAAAGGTGGTTTGGATTGTAGCTGCAAGTAGGTTACCCTGGGTAGAGTGGGGTGCCCTGGAAATACCTCAGAGACCTGGTGCTAACTCCAGCACCTTTGTCCATGAGTCATGTGCCTTTGCCTAAGCCCATTCCTCACTGTAAGTCTTAGCTGGAAAATGGAAATGATGCTTTTCTGTTTCTCAGAGCTGTTGATGCTCATTCAAATGAGACTGTTTTTATTAAATGGCTTTTATAATATAAGGAGCTGTATACAAGGGAAGTTATTACCCTTAAGTAAGTTTTGTGAGCTTCAGATTTTTATTACATAACATTTATGTCATATCACCTGGTCTGAGTATGACAGGTAGTTGTTTAGTTTGGTTTGATTTGTTACCTGTTTTATACACAGGGACCCAGAACCACTGAGAAGGAAAAGTATTCACCCCATTTTTCACTCATTGACTGATGTGGGGTGAGAAAAAAATGGAGACTTCCTCCCTAGCTTTTCAGCTTGTCTCTGAAGGTCATAAATATTCTATCTATCAGATGTAATTTCCAGGGTAACACACTGGAAAATACCACTGTGAGCTTGCAGCATGTCTTCCCATCTCTCAGAGCTGCTTTTGCCACCCCCTTGTTGCTTCTAGCATCACCATCAGTTTATACCCATCCCTCCACCACTAATGACTTGGAATTCTTTACTCACCCCCTGTCTTTTTGTAAGAAACTAGTGCCCATCAAGGCAGAAGACACTGGTGGCATGGCATGATGGAGACCTTCTTTTAAACAGAAACAAGTCAACAGTATTTCAATGTGAGGTTTTCCCCATAACTTGCTTATTTATTTTCACTGCATTTGAAAGGCAAGGGAGAAAACAGAGACAGACAGGTGGAGAAAGATCATCCATCTACTGCTTAACTCCCCCAAATGCCTGCAGCCACTACTGCTGGACCAGGCTGAGCTGGGAGCTGGAAACTGCCACGTTGAAGGCAGGGACCCAAGCCCTTGAGCTCTCATCTGCTGCCAGTGGGGTTCCCATTAGCAGGATGCTGGATCAGGAGAGCAACCAGGACACAATGCAGATTCTGATGCAGGATTCTGGCATTCCAGGTAGGGATTTCAGCTGGCGTGCCATCTGCCCACATCCACCATTGTACTTTTTTTTTTCTTCTGCTAGCTCTAGATAATATTCTAGTCTACAGTAAACTGCATTTTAGAGAATATTCTACCTAACTCAAGAGTCAAAATAGAAATTATTTTTATCTGAATTCTTTTCTCTAAGATTTGTTTATTTGCAAAATGGTGACAATAGATGGGGTGGCCTAGGCTGAAGCCAGGAGCCGGGAACTTCATGTGGGTGTCAGAAACTCAGCCACTTGAGCCATCATCTGCTGCCTCCCAGGTTCACTGAGAGGAGACTGGGTGGGAAGTGGAATAGTGAGCACCCAACCAGCACTCTGATATGGCATGCCTGCACTGCAGGGGATGGCTTAAAGCGCTGCACCACAACACCCACCTCTGTCTGAGTTCTTAAAGATGTATTAATTTGTTTGAAAGGCAGAACAACAGAGAGAGAGAAGGAGAAAGAGAGAGAGAGAGATCTTTCATCAATTGGATTGATCGTCAAATGGGTACAAAGGCAGGTCTGGGCAGGCCAAAGCCAGGAGTCAGGAACTCCATCCACGGCTCCCAGACGTGTGGCAGGGACTCAACCACTTGGACCATCATCTGCTATCTTCTCAGTTGCATGAGCAAGGAGCTGAACTGAAGTGGAACATCTGGGACTTGAACTGGCACTCCTAAATGGGTTGCCATCATCCCAAGCTGCAGCTCAGCTGGTGTGCCATAACACCAGCTCCTTCTTGCATGATTTCTTAGTGGTAGAAGGTGTAGATGTTTTTCGAAGGTAGTAAATTTGAAAATCGCTAGTAAAGAACATGATTGCCATTCAGTATTTCTTAAGGAGTAATTTATGGAAGAAAAGAATACCTGCCTCCTAACCAGGAGTAGAACAGCGGAAGTTAGCACAGGACCACTGGGCGTTCTCATTCTGTTAGCACAGTCACCTCTCCCCAGGAGGTGCTGCTGTGCAAGGCGCATGAGTATGGGGAAGAGGTTGAGACTGAGTTTTCCTTACTGCTTTGTGCTTACTTGTATCAGAAAGCATTTCAATAGGAAGCTTCAGGAGCCGTTTGACAAGTGGGGACCTTGTGTAGACAGCGCTGGGCAACTGGATGAGCCTGGCAAGGTGAAGTATGAGACAGTGTACTGTCAGAGCCACAGTGCAAGGATACATGGGAACAAGGATGCTGATTATACTTGTGGCACAGTCGTTAGATCTGGATGTATTAATGTCAGGTTCAGCTCAAGTATCCGGGCAGGAGGTGGGGTAGGAGAAGATTTGCTAAGGATACAGTGGCTGTATATTTGGATGGCTAGGCCCTGTGAAACTTGACCAATATTACAAGTTGAGAAAGACTGGTGATTTCAGCTTCTATTTAAGTTAAGGTTCCCATCAACAGCTTGTGTTTTGGGGTTCAAAGGGACATAAATTTCACTTTGCCTAAAAGCCAATTACTTTTAATGTTGGAGATTCCAAAGAGGCCCAAGTCATAGGAAAAACCCAAAAATACAACACATTTGAGCAAGAAATTTTTATTTAATTTCTGTGTGACTTTAAGATAGGGCCATTAGGATTTTGAGCTCAACCAAAATCTAAGATTCACAGTTTATAAAAGCAGGCAGCCCTGGATTCAACTGTTAAATTTCCAAGTGGAGACATGAAACCTGTAACAGTCCTACAGTTAGATTGCAGGCTCTTGTTTTCCTTGAGTCACTGTAGCATCAAGAACCCCAAGAAATACAGAAGTACAGCAATGACAGGATAGTCTGTTAAAATGAGCCTGCTTTGTGCTGGGTCAGACAGGTGAGCTCCTTGGATTGAGACTATCAGATTCCAGACTCAAAGTGGAGCTTAAGTCCAAAGTCAAGCCACCAAGAGCCAGTTGTGCCTTTGCTTGGTGTCTCTGGGGAGAGCGGTGGAGCACACAATGGAACCCAAAGTTTCTGAAATTCCTTCTAACCCTATACTTTTTTTAAATTTGAAAGGCAGAGTTAGACAGAAAGACCCTCAATCTACTGGTTGAACCCCTGAATGGGCCAATCCAAAGCCAGGAGCCAGCAGCTTCTTCCAGGTCTTCTCTGTGGATTCAGGGACCCAGTCACTTGGGCCATCCTCCACTGCCTTCTCAAGCCATTATCAGGGAGCTGGATCAGGAGTACAGTAGGTGGGATTCGAACCAGCACCTATATAGGATGCCAGTGCCATAGGCAATGGCTTACCTTGAATTACCACAGCACCGGCCTCCCAACCCCTTCGTCTGAAATTTTGCATATTAAAAACAGTCTTTGATTTCCACTTTCAGACCTTGGCACTGTCCTCACCCCACCCCCATGTTAAGTGTAGTTTCACGTGCTGTGTGTTGCATTATTTAAATAATTAAGAGGAAATAAGCTGACCAGTCTTCAAGAGATGATAAAGATATTTGTTTTGAGAAAGCAAGTCTAAAATTTGAAGATATTGCCTGTAGATTGAAAACAGGATGTTGCCTGAAAAAGAGGCTTGCTCTGGCTGTTGGTTGGGGAGACAGGCATTAGCTGTTGAGAATCTGAATTGACAGAGGAAGTGCTAGGCCTTCTGTCCAGAGGGTTTGTCTCCCTGGAAGAGACTTAGAAGAAGGGCAGGGTGTTGGAGGAAGGGGCACAGAGTTTAAAGCTTCCTTTCCAGCTCAGCCCTGGGCTCAATTTTTTCTTGCTTTTTTTTTTGTTTTTGTTTTTGTTTTTGTTTTTGTTTTTAATGAACTAAAATTTCTCCTGGCCTGCCAAATCCTGTCATAGAAGTTATTTCCTTCATACACCATTGCTGCTACTACAGAGCGTCAAGCCTCATGGTGCCACCAAGGCTCGCGGCTCCTGGCTGCTGTGTGACCTCTTTGGGCTTCTCCTCCCAGAGGAATAGTGATGGAGACTATTGGCAGAGGGGTGGGAGTGGTGGAAGCAGAGCATCCCCTGATTCACTTTAGATTTCCCAAACTGCCACAGCCCCCATTCAAACTACAGAACTCTCTTAACCGTTAACAGACTGTGTTTGCTTAGAGTTGAACGTATTCACCTGCTTATGCCCACAACCTTGACCAGCCTTGGAAGAGGTCGACTATAGTCTCCAAGGCAGATGTGCCTTCATCCACCCCAACCACAGGAGCAGCAAGTGGCAGTGTCCTCATGTGTCTTGTGTCTTTGCTGTTCTAGAATGCCACCATTCCCATGCAGAAGCTGCAGGACATCCAGAGAGCCATGGAGCTGCTGTCCGCCTGCCAGGGCCCGACCAGGAGCATTGATGAGGCTGCAAAACACAGATACCAGTTTTGGGACACACAGCCAGTGCCCAAACTAAGTAAGCACTTCGGCTTTATTCCCCTTTTCCCCCAAGAAACAAAAATGCATGAATGACAATCAAAAAACATGAGATTCCTCCACTCGCATCTTTGTTTCATATTACAGATTCAAAATGTACAAGACACCATGTAATAAACGTATCTCTGTCAGGTAGTGAGGTTGGCTGTCAGTGGCAACAATTTTAGTCTAATTCTTGTCTCTGTAAGCATATCCCATTTCCCCACACTTGGTAAAACATTGGAGGGGCTCTTCCCCATCCTCATTCAAAACTTGAGAAATTTCCCTGTTACAATCACATGTTACTGCAAAGGAAAGTTTTGTGTCATTTAACCTAGGATCTGAACACCTTGCACTAGCTTCACTAGTGTCCATGCAGTGCTATCCCAAGTGTCATCGAGAAACAGGGACATCTTGCAAAGGCCCAAGTAAGGCGTTTCACTCAGAGAAGACACTGTCATGACATCCAGATCCTGCACCCTGCAGGTGTTGCACCTGCCCTCAGCAGTACTCTTAGGCATCTACCACTGAAGTTTGCCATACACATAACCTAACCTTCTCCTTCATGTGCTGCCAAAAAAAGTATATATATATATAAACACACACACACACACACACACACACACACACACACACACACATACGTAGATATAGTTGTAAATGCCACAGGATGATCAAAACCATGCTACAACCTGAACCTGTTTCTTTGCCTTGTGTATATATGCCTTTTTTTCAATCTTTCAGGTTCAGGATTTTTAGCATATGAGGATCTAACTAAAAGCTCAGTAACCCAGCCATGACAAGTGATCTGTTTTGTGCAGTGTAAATTAGGAAACAAATTTTCAGTGCTTTCCAATCCTGATCCTCAATGAAGTGCGTTCTTGAGTGCAGAAGAAAGAAGCGTCCGCAGCTTATTTCTCTCCTTGCAGGCTTTGGAAATGTACTTAGCAGTGGAGGAAGATTCTCAGAAATTAACAGGCCTTTAGATGGCCATGAATTGAATGACCATTAGCTGCAAGATTTAGATTTATTGACCTAAGTGCATTGGAGACCGTCCTTGAATGCTGTATGACAGCTGAGGTTCCAAGGGACCCTGGAAGGAAGCAGTTAGGACTTTGGCTCCCTGGGCTGATTTGAGGAAGGTAGAAGTTCTCCTTTGGAGATGAGCTGACAACATGGAGAAAAGAGAGACAACTAAAGAAATTGGAGCTGGCACACAAGCCCTGTGAAAAGGTCAGGGAGGGGAAGAACCAGACCCTGAGGGTGCTCAGCTCGGAGTTTGCTGTGTCTGTTACTAAGCACCAGACACAGTATGGGGTCCACACTGGGGAAACAAAGGTGGAAAAGTAGACCAGTGGTGGCCAGGTTGGGCTTCAGGGAGGACATGCTTCAGGTAGAATGGGGCTTGAGGGAGGGAAAGATGCTGCAGGAAAGGAGTGTGTACATGAGCATCTGCTCGAGACATTCTGCAGGCTCCCCATCCATCTCCACCTGCCCCAGCAGAGGGCAGGCCCCAGGGCTTCCCTGGGATGGAACAGGCCTAAGGTAGGTCAGCGTTCAGGGTGTGGGGCGGGGGGGGGAGGGAGAGGGAAGGAAAAAGGTTAGAGGGGAAGGGAGTATGCAAGGGAGACAGTGGCCACGGGGAGACTCCCAGGTAGAAATTGCTAGAAGCCATTATGGCCTGGGTTACTCTGCTGGCATGACAGGAGGAGAGAAGTGGCTGGAAATTAATTTGGGTTTTATTACTGGGAGGGTGGATAATCACCATGTCCCAGCTCCATCCTGGTATACAGATAGATAATCAAGAAATGAATCTCTGTGAATCTAATGGGCATGGGTGTCATTCTACTCTAATTTTAGTGATCTGTGATCAATTTGAAATCTACCATCTATGGTGAAATAGTCGTTTTTCCATTTGATGATTGTTTATAACCATTGCCTATATTTCTGCTAAGCTGGGATGCTTTTGGTTTTTACTTATTGAATTCTTCACTCACTGAAGCATTAAACCCTTGATTGCCATGTAAATTAATAGGGTAAGTCACCTCCTGCAACCCTCCATCCTATTAGTTCTAGTCCCTAGATACTCCATTTCTGATCCAGCTCCCTGTTAAAGGTTTGGGAAAGTAGTGCAAGATGACCCAAGGCCTTGGTCCATGAGCCCACGTGGGAGACCTGGAGGAAATTCCTGGCCCCTGGCTTTGTCCTGACCTGGGCCTGGCTGTCTGTGGCCATTTGAGGAGTGAATAACAGACAGAAGATCTTGCTCCTCCTCTCTGTCTCTGTAACTCTACCTTCTAAATAAAATTGTGTATTAAGTCTTTTTTTAAAATGTGAAAGAGACAGGAAGGAGATAGGAGAGGATGGAAGGGGAAAAGGAAATATATTCTTAGGAATATAAGGAAGTATGAAATGTATTCATTCTCTAGGAACTATATTGAATTTGTTAAAACTAAAAATATGTAAAAGAAAATAATAATACTGAAAAAAAAACCTCTGTAAGGCTGTCGTATCAAATTGATGTTGCTTGGTGTGGTGCTGTGTGTTAACATCCAGGCTACAGATCGAGACCGAGACTGCCATCCTTTTGTAAACTCGTCATCACTGTGTGAGAGGTTTCTTCCCTCGAATTGACGAAATACTGATTACTCCATGCCACTGTCTAGTTTTCCTGCCTCAGCCAGTGGTACATGAGATAATAGCCTGTTTTTAAAGATTTATACAAAACCCCAGGCCATAAACATGATTTCTGTTTGTAACACAGATGATTTTGACTTGGCAGAATACTTCGTGATTCCAAGTTCTTTCTGTTTTTCGTCTGCTGCAGATGAAGTTATAACGTCCCACGGTGCCATCGAACCAGACAAAGACAACATTCGTCAGGAGCCATATTCCCTGCCGCAGGGTTTCATGTGGGACACCTTAGACTTGAATAATGCTGACGTGGTGAGTAAAATGCTTTCACTCATCTTGACCTTGGCTGCACAGAAAGTGCTCCTGAGTTGGGTCTGAGCACCATAGATAGGACGCTCGCCGTGTCTTGTAGCTCAAGGAGCTGTACACGTTGCTAAATGAGAATTACGTGGAAGATGATGACAACATGTTCCGATTTGACTACTCCCCGGAGTTCCTGTTGTGGTGAGTTGTACCTGGTGATGGAGGCTGGGAGGGAGGCTGTGGGCTCGGGTGGGCTGTGTCCGTTCATGTGTCCTTGGACGCTAACCTGACCCCTGTTTTTCTGGTCTTTCCTGACTTCAGGGCTCTGTGCCCCCCCGGCTGGCTCCTTCAGTGGCACTGCGGGGTCCGAGTGTCTTCCAATAAGAAGCTAGTGGGATTCATAAGTGCCATCCCAGCAAACATCCGCATTTATGACAGGTACCTGCGGATTCCTGTCAGTGCCAGTTCTTGTGTTGCCTTTCCAAGAATGGCAGCTGGAAGAGGCTGGTTGGGTGTTTGAGTGAGAGTGAGTGATTACATAGGCCATGCTTTCGTTTAGCAGTATATCTGGAAGATTAGACAAGAGGATAAGAAGAAACTTTTAGACTAACTCAGGTTCTTGATAGTCGGGGAGGTTATGCTTGTGTGGGGGGTACAGGCTGTACTATAAGACATAAAGTGTAGGAGCAGGTATTTGGCCCAGCAATTAAGACTGTCAAATCAGAGTACCTGCATTTGAGTCCCAGAACAGCTTCTGATTCCAGCTTCCTACTAACGCACATCCTGAGAGGCAATGGTGACAAGTCATTGTGCTGCTGCCACCCACATGGGAGACCTGGATTGTGCCCCCACCCCCTTCCTTGCTGCAGCCCGGCCCACCCAGTCCAAACATTGAGGGCTTTTAGGAAGTGATTCAGCAAATGGGAGCTCTCTCTCTCAAAATTTTTAAAAATCATAATAAAGTTTATTATTGAGTAGTTAAAATAATTGGAGAGAGAAGAGATAATGAACCAAAAATGTTGTCTATTTTATTTTGCTCTACCTCATTCTCATACAAGCATACTTGTGATGTGTACATACAAACACATATAAAGAGACCATGTGTGTATTGGAATAAACAAACCCATACACAAGTATTCCGGGTTTATTTCTAAGGGAGAGTACTATGGAAATTTGAAGCATGATTAAACATTTTTTTTTCTGTATAAAGTAAATACGCTATGTTTAAAGATTTACTTGAAAGGCAAAATTACACACACACGCACACACACACACAGATCTTGCTTCTGCTGGTTCACTCCTCAAAAGCCACAGTGACTGAGGATGGTCCAGGCTGAAGCCAGGAGCCTTGAACTTTATCTTAGCCTCCCACACTGTCAGCAGGGACCCCAAGTATTTGGACCATCCTCTGCTGTTTTCCCAGGCCCGTGAGCAGGGAGCTAGCTGGGTAAGAGACAGAGGAGGTAGGACTTGAACTAGCACTCTGAAATGGGATGCTAGCATCACAGGCAGAAGCCTATCCCACTATACCACAATACTGGGCCCCACTCTGCTACCCTTTTTGCTCTGTGTCTCCAGCCAAGGAAATGAAAGATTCAGCTATGAAAGTCAAAAATGTGAGGCTTAATAGGTCCCTTTGTGTTTCAGCATACTGGGTTGGCTTAATTACTGCTAACAGCAAGTTGACCTCCAGAAATAACTGTCTGCTAAACAGAAGGCCGGCATCAGTGGGGTCAAGGCTTGGGACGGCTCTGAAGGGCAGTCCCTTCTCAGGAACCCGGGGAATCTGTTTTGCACTCTAGAGCAACATCTTGTCCAACTCTACAACCCTGACCCAGTTATAATTATATACATTTCAGGAAACACAGAAAAAGAAATATCTGATCCTGGATCTTGATGAAAATCTTACAAAAAAGAAAAGATTGAAGGCTAAAAGTTTATTTAGAACAAGAATATTTGGTTCTCCCTGGCCTGAAATTAAGCCATTTTGGCTGAGAAGCATGGGGAATGAGTGTTTCTGATTTGAATTTATGAAAAGTTTACATAATAGAATACTTTTCATAGATATCATGTTAAAGGATGCCTTTTCTGTACTTAATTCTTGGAAAATACATTTGTGTTGGGTCAACTCTAATTTTTAATATCTTTTTCTCCTAGTGTGAAGAAGATGGTAGAAATCAACTTTCTTTGTGTTCACAAGAAGCTAAGATCCAAACGAGTGGCCCCCGTGTTAATTCGGGAAATAACCAGAAGGGTGAACTTGGAGGGAATCTTTCAGGCCGTGTATACCGCTGGTGTGGTTCTCCCTAAGCCAGTGGCCACATGCAGGTAATTGCCGCACATCCCAGTCCTGACAATAACAAGAGCAACTCTTCTAGAAGCATTCTTTATCCTCAGGAGTAACTAGTGGGGGTGGCAAGGGGGGCAGATTTAGACTTCCTTATGACTATTGAGGTTCTTGGAAGTAGGACATGAGACCAGAACCTAGGGCCACTGAGTCTGATGTGTGTTTGTTGTACATCATTCAACCACCCAGTAATTCAAAAATGATTTTTAGGTTCCTCCTGCAGGTGATTCTGGGTCCCTATTTTTGCTTCTCTTCTACTTGAAGGACTGGTGCTGTCTGTGCCTGGGGAGACCTGGGCATTCTGAGTGTCCTACCTTTGCACCCTTACTACCACTCGGTTTCCCATTGCACTTGACAGCCTAGCCGAGTTATGCCAGTGTGCTCCTTGAGAAGTCATGGCTGTTCTTGGCAGCTGAGAGCAAGAAGGCAGCTTTTGCTCTTTGGTTATGACTTGACTCATTCCAGTCGAGCTTTCAAAGGCTATTCCAGGGAGAGAGCCATCAGCTTGTCATGGGACTGACCTGTTTCTGAGACAGCAGAAAGAATTGACCTTCCTGTTCTGTTTTTATTGACTCTAGTAGGGTCAATACCCGGAGTGGATGTACAGTGACTGTATTCTATTGAATTCCTGCACTCATAAATTAACAGAAAAAAAGACTCCACCACTGTATTTTAATTCAAAATATTTATCCCAGTACCTAATGTGAAATCATTTGAGAAAGCCATGGTAGTTCCTCAAAAAAGTTGATTTCCTTGGTGTGTATTCCATAAAAGTGGAAAAGGCTACCGATTTAGGAAAAGGATTTCCACGTTTCTGAAACTCTCTGGTTTGCCTTTTGTAGAATCTGTGCTGCTCATTGAGTACATGCAAACCGAGACCTACCCAATGCTTCTTTTGTTGTGGTAAGATTCCACTCTAGTAAAGGAGATAAAAGGGACATTAACCAGGAAGGAAAGACATATTTTAGAGACTAAAAGTCACACGTGGGAGGGGGGGCCAGCGTTCAGCACTGGGTCAGGCACACACAGGCATGTCCAGGAAATGCTGACGGAGCAGCTGAGCCGAGACAGAGTCGGGACTTGCAGAGTTAGAAATCAATCCAACTTTCAAACCTTTATTGTCTTCCAGATACTGGCATCGATCCCTAAACCCCAGAAAATTGGTAGAAGTGAAATTTTCTCACTTAAGCAGAAATATGACTTTACAGAGAACAATGAAGCTCTACAGACTTCCAGATGTAAGTAGGAATGATTTGTGCGGTTTTTTTTTTCTTTTCTTTTTTTTAAAGCCATTACAACGAAAGCCTTTAATGTGGGAATGGATTTTTTGCAGAAATCTTAAAAAACAAAACAAAACACCAGAGTGTGAGGAAGCAAGCATGTGGCTGAAAGACTGCAGCGAGAGAAGGAGCTAGGGAAAGTAAGGAACTTCATCTGGAAAAACCAGTCTTCTTTTTGTGCTCTATTTTGTTTTTAAGAATTTTTTTTAATGTTCTTTAGTTTATGATCAGATCATGCTGGACTCAAGTAAATCCAAAATTTGGAAATTTGAGGTTGCTAATGGCCTGCTAAGTGAGAGGTCAGGTGAGAGGAAAGTTTAGGTTCTGCTGCTTCCATAGCTGAGGAGTCAAGGTTAGAGGAGACCCAGGAACAGGAAATAATGTGTCATTCACTCATCCTCTTTTTAGCCTAGCAGATTTTCAGTAGGAAAAGTTGCCCTTCTTCCTAGGAAAAGATGTAGATGTGCCTTTTAGTCTTGGCACTATTTGGGAAATGGGCGGCAAATTCATCGCTGCTTCCCAACAAATCACCCCCACACTGAAGAGCTTACAGCAGCAGGGTGCAGGACACGGGACCAAGAACCTGTAGCTGAGTCCTGGAGTCTGTGAGGTTGTTTGCAGGACTGGGTTCCTCGCTAGCTTGTGGGCTGAGGGCCTCAGTTCTTTGTCAGCTGCCCAAGGCCTGCCTTCAGGTCTGTGCCACCTGTGCTTTCTGGACGCAGCTTTGTCATTGAAGCCTGGGGGAGATAAAGTCACCAGCAAGAACAAAAGGGAGACAGCCTGTGTTACCTAGTACCCAAGGGGACATCCAGTCACCTCTGCTGTTTCTGTGGATTAAAGGCAAAACACAGGCCACGCCCACAAGCCCAAGGTCACAGTTGGTGTCACCTCCAAGAAGTGTGATCCGTTGGGCCAGCCTACAATTTGTCCACAAGCACACACACTTGCCTCTGTGTTGCCTAAAGTGGAATGAAGAATAAGGAGTTGGGTTAGTCAGGATGGGTAGAATTTGAGATGCTAAAAATATCCTTGAGGTGACACTGGCAATCAGCCTGTATATTTTCGTCCAAGAGTCAATACACTCAGGGATTAAAAGGGACTTTTGTTATTCTACTTAATTTATTTAGTTTTCAAAAAATTTATTTATTGAAAGTAAATAATAGATATAGATATATAAAGTGTGTGTGTGTGTGTGTGTGTGTGTGTGTGTGTGTGTGTGTGTGTATGAGTGTGTAGAGAGAGAAAAGGAGAAACCTTCCTTCCATCCCCTGGTTCATCCTCCAAATGACCTCGGTGGTTGGGGCTCTGGATCCAGGCCAAAACCAGGAAGCAGAGCAGCCAGAACTCAGCCTGGTACTCCCATATGGGACAGACACTGCAGATGGCAGCTCAGCTTGATGTGCCACAATGCTCGGCCCTGAAATGCTAACTTGGCATTGGTATGTGGCCTGGCGATGATAGTGAGGATGAGGATGGGATGTCCGTGTCCCTAGCCACAGCCCTGACTTCTGTTCTTGCTGACTTCTTGGTTCCTGACTTGCAGCTGCCTGCTGGTGCAGAGCCTGGGAGGCAGTGGTGATGGCTCAAGTAACTTAAGTTCCTGACACCCACATGGGAGTCCTGGATTGCGTTCTCAGCACCCAGCTTTGGCCCCGGGCACAGCTTTGTCCATTGTGGGTATTTAGGGAGTGAGCCAGTGTATGGGAACTCACTCTCTTTGTGCCTTTCAAATTAATTAATTAAAAATAAGGCAAAAGGGCCCGGCGGTGTGGCCTAGCGGCTAAAGTCCTCGCCTTGAACGCACCAGGATCCCATATGGGCACTGGTTCTAATCCCAGCAGCTCCATTTCCCATCCAGCTCCCTGCTTGTGGCCTGGGAAAGCAGTCGAAGACAGCCCAAAGCCTTGGGACCCTGCACCCACGTGGGATACCTGGAAGTGGTTCCTGGTTCCTGGCTTCAGATCGGCATAGCATCGGCCATTGTGGTCACTTGGGGAGTGAATCATCGGACGGAAGATCTTCCTGTCTCTCCTACTCTCTGTATATCTGACTTTCCAATAAATAAGTAAATCTAAAAAAAAAAAAAAGGCAAAATACTAAGATGTCCTCAAGAAATAAGTATTACTATGTGTCTGTACCCTTTCTACATTTTTTTTCTGAATTTTGGTGTTAAGTATTTCCAAAGTTGATGTGTCTGTGTGTGTGTGAGAGATCTTAAAGTCAAAACAATTTGAAGCAGTTAAAAATGAGAGTCCTAAATTGATCTTCTAAGCTTTTTGCTTTATTTTTGTAACATATTTTAAGATACATAGATGTACTGCATTTACTAGCATTAGATAATTTTTTTTAATATTTAGCATCTTCTTTTTAAACCATTTAAACAACCATAACCATTGCTTAAATCTCTACCTTGGAATGTTGGGGTGCAGTATTTCATGCCAAGTGGGCTGACAGGTTCTCTTCTCTGTTTATCTGCCTTTCCAATAAAAATAAATAAATCTTTTTTACAAAAAAGATCCATTTTTACTTGGAAGGCAGATCTTACAGAGACAGGAGAAGTAGAGAGAGAGGGTCTTCCATTGGTTGGTTTATTCCCCAAATCGCTGCAATGGCCAGAGCTAACTGATCCAAAGCCAGGAGCCAGGAGCTTTTTCAGGGTGTCCCACGTGGGTGCAGGGTTCCCAGGGCTTGAGCCGTTCTCCAATGCTTTCTAGGCCATCAACAGGGGGCTGGGTCATAAGCGGAGCAGTTGGGACATGAAACAATGCCCATGTGGGATGTTGGTGCCACAACGCAGAGGATTAGCTTGCTGCACATCTGCGCAGGCCACAAGAGCAAATTTTACACACAGTTCATTATGAACGCATAGAGTGCAATAAGTCATGGACACTAGTGGGTTGGGGGAAGGTTCTGATCAAAAAAAGTTTGCTTACAAAATCAGAGATGTTCTCAGTTGCTGAAAAAGCTTCTTTGCTTTTTACTAAACTCAGAAAACATGACCGCTTCACTCTGATTATACAGAAGCTTGCCTTTCTTAATTTAAGCTTAACAGTCTTTCCATTTTTGCCTCAAGTCAGTGGCTATAATTTGAGTATTTCATTACATGAAAAGTTATTTTATCACTTTTCAGCCTTTTGGTGAAGATCAAGTGTAAAAATTATCCTGTAGATTGTCAAGCCACTGATAATAAAATATTTTCCTCATTTTCTATGACCTCATGCATTTTATGGTTAATTATACTCTGAAAATATTGTTTTCTACTTTAATACATCTGTGCAAAATCTTGCTTAAAATACTTAAGAACTGCCAGGGCTGTGATTCTAACATGCATTTCATGAGCTGTCTTGTCTAAATTGCTTATTTTTCTAACCCAAGATGGTCCCTGAGATCTTTCTGTGAAAATAACACTGTTCGCAACCTCACTAACGTGAAATCCGCAGTTTTTGTTTTCACTCACTGGGTTCCTATATTTTCTTCTGTTTTACAATGTTCTCGGGTTGAATTTCTACTATGGTAAATGCAGATACACGTAGCCCTCATAAGCAGAACCCTTTAGGGCACTTAGTAATCGCCCAGTGGAAAGACGTGCCGAGCGTGGGTCAGTTGAGAGCTACCCTCCGCCAGCCGCACGGCTGAAGGCAGGCTGTCCTTAGCAGTTGCCCAGTTCTCGTACCACATGAGGTGCACAAGAATTCTGTTCCCCACAATGTGTTTTGCTCTGGTGGAAACTGGAAAACTTTTTCTTCATTTCTGAACATTCTCTTTGAACAGATGTTTGTGTCCTGTTACTTCCGTTATTTGATATAATGGCTTAATAATGTCCATCATTAATAATCCTGTTAACAAAAGAAACAACATTCTGATATTAAGAAAGGCTCCTTTTCTCTGCCTTTCTGATGGTTGTTGGGCTTCCTTAGGCCAGTCTCAAGTGTCGTGTCTAGACAGCTCTGGAAAGCCAAGTGCTGCTGGGAGCAGCGAGACGAAGCCTGACCAGGAGCTGCAGACTTTGGGCTCCCGTGGGCTCCCGTGGGCTCCGTGTCAGTGGTGAACTTCCAGGACGGTGATTAGGCTGCCTCCTCTGGTTCCCTTTTCATCAAAAGGCACTGCAGGGAGACCACCTCTAGGAAATGCTTCATTAGTGAAACGTCTGTCTTCCCATCCTGACCAGCATGGTTTAGCTCTTTTTATTTTTGCTTAAAAGAATGAAATCATGACATCCTTCTTCATGGGCCACTGAGGAAAATAAGTTTCTCGCCTGTGGCATTCAGAATGTCAGATGTAACTGTCTTAAAGCAAAACATTCCAGCAGCCATGCTAAGAGTATGTGATTCTCTCCCGCCTACAGTCTTCCCTGGGGTCATGGGCAGTAACCCATGAGAAACTGTGATACGTTGTCTAGCAAATATCACAACCAGGTGTTCCTCCAACAATGATGTGTGCAGGAAATCAAGGGGGAGAACGTATTTGAGTTGCAGGTTCTGAATGACAAGGGGCTGGGACTCTACAGTTCTGAGACATGTTCCCTGTGTTGCTGGTAGTACCCATTTCTGTGCGCCATGCTTTGGGCATGAAAGTGTGTATGAATTTGTCTTCTTTTCCCTCCAACAAGGTTACAAAGACTTCAGGTTTGAGACCAATGGAACCAAAAGATGTTAAAGCCGTCCGAGAATTAATCAACAGTTACCTAAAGCAGTTTCATCTAGCCCCGGTGATGGACGAAGAGGAAGTAGCCCACTGGTTTCTCCCTCGGGAGCACATTATCGACACTTTCGTAGTGGAGGTAAAAATAAGGAGATAAGATTCCACTGAGCTGTATGCAGATTGTGTGCATGAAATGTTGCCCAAAAGGACCATAGTGTACCCTCCTTTCTTTTCCTTTTTTTTTTTAAGGTTGACTGTATAACCTCATCCCAGGTGGATGTGTCCTGGATTCTTGGGGCTTCATTTGGGAAAACTAGCAGTTACCAGACTGCCTTGCCTAAGAGGGCACAATTCAGCCACTTAACCCCTCTTCAAGGAAAGGAAAGAAGGAAGGAAAAGTAACAGTTTTGATTAAGAGTTAGATAAATTTAACATAGTACTGTAAAAAAAATTTTTTTAGCCTTGAAACATGTATGGATACCTCATTTGACAGCTCTTTTGGTTGAAGTGGACGCAGGTTGACATCAAGTACTTGGAGGAAGGAGGTTAGGAGCCACTGGAGTGACCCCTTTGCGTCTGTTGTAAACACTGAGCAGGAGCATTCAGTCAGCACTGTCAGGCTGCGTCTGGAGGCGTGCTCCCAGCCCAAGCAGGGTGTGATGGTGGGAGCCTGGCTTGGTGTGAAGTCACAGGGTTTTTCTGAAAAACAGCTGAGTCAGATTTGTTTTTAGATTTTTATTTATAGAACACCACAAGCGTGACATCTCAGTACACATTTCATAAACGTGTTTCTTAAATGTTTTAGAGAGACAAAGTGGGCCCCCATCTGCTGCTTTGTTCTTTGGACACCCGCTCCTGCTGGCGCTTGGCTGAAGGCTGGAGACAAGTACTCCCCTAAGTCTCGCATGGGAGTGGCTGGGACCTGGTCACTTGAGCCCTTGCCTGCTGCCTCCCACCCCAGTGTACACACATTTTCATGTACTTGAATACGTTTCTCCAGGGTAGCCCTTCTCAAACCTTTAAATCTCAGGATTCTTTGCAGAAATATTGAGGAGAGGCACTAATAGCTAGACCTGGCACTAAGATGCTACTTAGGACACCCACATCTCGTAGCAGAGAGCCAGAGTTTGTGATTTGCCAGCTGTTCCTGAAGCCAGCTTCCTGTTAATATGTACCCTGGGAGGCAGCAGGTGATGGCTCGAGTGGTCAGGTTCTGCCTTTCAGGTGACAGACCTGAACTGCGCTCCAGGCTCCTGGCTGGAATACGGCCCAGCCCCAACTGTAGGCATCTGGGGAGTGACGCAACAGAGGAACAGAGAACAGGAGTTCTCTGTCTCTCAAGTAAATAAAATATGTTTTTTAAAATGATTGCGGACTCCAAAAAAATGGATAGATATTTACTGTATTCAAATTAGAAATTCTTCACCATTACTTTACTTAAGAACAACATAACACTAGCAAATACATTCTGTGTTTCCTGAAGATCATATTTTGTTATGAAAACAACTTTTCCTGAACAAAATCAGAGAAAAAATGGCATTCTTTCATTTTTTGCCAGTCTTTTTAATATCTGACTAAATAACAGACTTGCATATTTATTTTTCTGTATCCTATTTACTGTGATATGTTTCAAATATGTAAAGAAAATACTTCATATGAAATATTGAAGCTATGAAAAAGAATAAGTGTTTGAAAAGGTTTTTCATATAATTATGGTTTTTATCTTACCGAAAATCATCACTGAACATTTTTAAATTTTAATTTTTATTTATTTGAAAGTCAAAGTTAGAAAAAGAGAGAGATGGAGATGAAGATCTTCCATCTGCTGGCTCACTGCCCAGATGACTGCAATAGCTGGAGCTGGGCCGGACTGAAGCTAAAAGCCTGGAGCTTCATCTGGGTCTACCGTATGAGTGGCAGGGGCCTAAATGCTTGAGCCTTTCTCTGCTGCCTTCCCAGGCACATTAGCAAGGACCCGATTGAAAGTGGATCAGCTGCTTCCAAACCAGCACCTGTATGGGACACCAGCACTTTAGGTGGAGGCTTAACTTGCCATACCGCAATACTATTCCCATCGGTAAACTTCTCATATTCTATTACATTAAAAATCCGTTTGTCTGCCTGGTCCTTTGAATGACTCTGTGACCTAGCATCATGTATTGGTAATTTGAAAAACAATTGGTTCACTGAGTTGCATAGAGCTCCCAAATACTGACATTTCATACGTGGGATCATAAAGTTAAATGTTGATATTACCATCATTGTCATCAGAACAAGTGTGTAATATAGCTCCTAAAGGTTCTCCTTTTAGTTTGCACTGAAGCTTTATCAGTAGCAACAAATCCTCTCTTATTCATGTGACAGGCTCACATCATTTGTTTCCCGGAAAATGCGCCAAACACCTAAGCCTGAACAACCATGGTTTGCCATGTAATGTGCCATGGAGAAAAAAAAAGTGGCCAGTTGAGCTCACAGCTCAGTAGCATAGGGCTTCTTCTTGAGACCACCTTTATGTTTCATTGTGCAGGGAGAGTGTTTATGAAGAGTTGGTAAAACCAGTAGTAGGGATACAATAAGGATATCCTTTTGTGAAGCTTGTTTTCTCTGATTTTTTTCTTTTAAAGATTTTTGTTTTAAGAGGCAAAGAGAGAAATGAAGTCTGAGACAGGCAGTGTGAACTCTGTAGTGCCTGCAATGACTGCGCCCAAATCTGGGAGTGGGGAACTCAGTCCAGCTGTTCCCACCGCAGCCCCGTGGAAGGCAGAGCCAGACACTGACGTGGGCGGGAGGGTGTCTCTGCCGCTAGGCTGAGCATGCGCTCTGAGCTTTGTGTAAACCATGAAGATGTTAATAGATGGTGCCACAGACTCATTTTATACTAATGCCCCAGCAGCTGCCCCCACCGTCAGTGCAGAGGCCAACACAGTGACCAAACCCAATACTTTATTAATATTCATGATGAAAACAATTCTAGCCACATTGATTTCCCAAGGGGTCCCTGGCACACCCACAGGCTTCACAGAGCACATTTGAAAACTATTGCCCCGAGGTATAACTCGAGTGGGTGAGTATGAGGTCAGACCTACAGTAGCATCTTTCAGTGGCCTGGGAGCTCACTGGAATATCTCATTAGCACCTCCCCAGGCTTCCTGTTTGCTCACATCCTCACAAACAGGTCATTGTGTTCAGGCGGTAGACCTAGCCTTGCTTTTTGAGTCTGAAACAACATCTTGTTTTTAATTAATTGTTCTCATTATCCAAACTTCTAAATCTTCCAGCCATGATTATTTCTTCTTAGGTGAAGTTGCTGTTCATATAGTTTGCCTATCCTTCTGTTTGAGTGCAGTTTTATTGGCTTGGGAAAGTAGTGCTGAATGCTGAGAACTAAACGCCTCCAAGATCCATATCAGAGGTCATCTTTCCCATTCCAGTCATCTTCATTAGCCCCTCCATGAGGACCATCCTGGCCAGAGCAGTAGCTGCATAGTTAGTGCTGATGTCAGGTCGAGAAATTCTTCCCACTCCAGGATTATCTATCAACATGCTTTGGGGGGCCAGTACGATAATCGCTCAATGGCTAAATCCTCACCTTGCAAGTACCAGGATCCCATATGGGTGCCAATTTGGGTACCTGCTGCTCCACTTCCTATCCAGCTCCCTGCTTATGGCCTGGGAAAGCAGCAGAGGATGGCCCAAGTCCTTGGGACCCTGCACCCATGTGGGAGACCCAGAAGAGACTCCTCGCTTCAGTTTGGCTCGGCTCCAGCTGTTACTGCCATTTGAGGAGTAAGCCCCCAGATGGAAGATCTTTCTGTCAAGGTCTCTCCTTCTCTCTGTAAATCTGCCTCTTCAATAAAGATAAATAAATCTGAAAAGGGAAGGGAAAGGGAGGGAAGGGGAGGGGAGGGGAGGGAAGGGGAGAGGAGGGGAGGAAAAGAAAAGAAGAGAAGAGAAGAGAAGATTGCTTTAGCTTATCTATTTCCTCTGTCTTTTCATGTCAACTTTAGAATAAGTTTGTCCTTGTCCACCTCGTCTCTGTCTACTTGCTCGGCATTTTGATAGGCGTAATTTGAGGGAGAATACAAAAACCTTCCAATCCATAAATACAGAATATCTCTGCATTTATTTAAGTTTTTAAAACGTGTCTATTATCGGCATTCTGTCATTGTCAGCTTCCAGATGGAGTACACGATTTCTGAGTGTATGCCTAAACATTTCTCTTCTTTGGGGTGACTGTAGGTGGTGGTTTTGTGTTTTTGGTTTCCATTTCTGTGTGTTCACAGTATAAAGAAAGGCACTTGCTCTCCTGTGTCGATGTTGTATCCTGCACCCTGTTGGAATAGCTTGCTAGTGCCAGGAGTTTACGCATTGATTGTTATTAGTGTCTGGAATGTATATTGAGTTGATGAGAAATACTAGTGTAGAGGATTTGGGGTTTCTGGTTCTGTTTGATGTTTTTCGGCTGGTTTCAGTACCAAGACAAGGCTGGCTTCATAAAATTAGCCAAGAAAGGGTTATACCTCCTTTTATACCTCCTTTCTGTTTTCTGCAAGAGATTGTGTAGAATCAGTGTTAATTTTTTTAAAAGATAGAATCCTGTATTTGAAACCATCAGAGCTCAGATACTTCTTTTGAATGAGTTTCAAAATATGAACTGAATACATTTAATAATTCCAACACTGTTCAAAGGATCTCTCTCATCTTTTTTTTTTAAGATTTATTTATTTATTGGAAAGTCAGACATACAGAGAGTAGGAGAGACAGAGAGGAAGATCTTCCGTCCAATGATTCACTCCCCAAGTGAGCACAACAGCCGATGCTATGCCAATCCGAAGCCAGGAGCCTCTTCTGGGTCTCCCACGCGGGTGCAGGGTCCCAAAGCCTTGGGCCGTCCTCAACTGCTTTCCCGGGCCACAGGCAGGGAGCTGGAAGGGGGGAAGTGGGGCTGCCGGGACAGAACCAGCGCCCATATGGGATCCCGGGCGTGCAAGGCGAGGACCTTAACCACTTGCGCCACTGCACCGGGCCCAATCATCATTTATAACACTCAATAGTTTATTGTGTGTACCCAAACTTTTCTCCATTATTCCTTTTTCATTCCTGATAACTCAAGAGCCATTCTTATATTTTTTTTTCTTG